TAAATCGTACATTCTTTAAAATTGCCAATATATTGTTCCATTTAACATCCATAGACCCTTTCCATTCCACAAAAGGTAGTGGAAAATGGTTCTTCAGATTATTAAAAAGTTTTTCAAGAACTGTTCACTGAAATGTACTTGGGGGAACCTAAAATTTGTATTTTATGATGTCGCTGTGAAATCCCATTTTGGGACCTTTATTTTAAAGAGTGTAAAGCAATTATGAAAAAGGTACCTTTGTCCTTGCTCAGGAACTTCCACGTTTGGGTGGAGAACTGGATGACACGTTCAGACCTGGCACTCGGGTATGAAGGTTGGCAAGCGAGCGACCCAACACCCCAGCAATGAGTGATGGTGAGCCAATAATCAATGACTGATTGAAGGGAAAATTCATTGTCAATGACAACTTCAATTCTGTTGTCCTCTTTCTGTCAGACGTCTTCTGTTGTGGTCCGGCCTCTGTCAGAGCAATCAAAGAGGGCGAGCTCACTTTCCCTTACGACATCCCGTTCTTGTACGCCGAGGTAAATGCAGATGTGGTGGAGTACATCAAACTGAGAGATGGAAGAGTCTTTAAGATGGAAGGATCTACTGTGGAGGTTGGGAAATCCATCAGCACTAAAGCATTGGGCAGAGATGAGAGAGAGGACATTACACACAACTACAAGTATCCAGAGGGTAAGGCAACATTCAGCTTTTTTAATTCTTTCATTGTTAAAGGATTAGTTCACCTCAAAATGAAAATTTCTTGAAAATGTACTCACCCCAATGCCTTTGCTCAACGTTCTTTCTTCAGTGGAAAAGATTTTTCAACATTTCAGGATTTTTCTCCACATAATGGACTTCAAGCGAGTCCAAATCAATGCAGTTTCAAAGGAATAGGGTCTTATCTAGCGAAACCATCGTTCATTTTCAAAAAAAAAAAAAAAAAAAAAAAAATTTGTAACCAAAATTGTTCATTCTGTTCAGTAACAAATTTCCCTGGCCCTCGTCATGATAAATACTTCTGTTCAGGTTCTGAAGAGGAGAGAAAGGTTTATGAGAAGGCGAAGCATCACAACAGACTGGCACAGGCCGGAGAGGAACCGGGTTTACACATCAAGATCAGAGTGACCCCGGATATGCAGATCGGCTCTGACTTTGACGTTTACGCAGAGCTCAAAAACAACACCATGGTCACAAAGTGCTGTCGGGTCATGTTTTACGCTCAGGCGGTGTCCTACAACGGCAAACTTGGAGAAACCTGTGGACTGGGCGAGTTTACAGAGATGAATTTAGCTTCTACCGAGGGTAAGACTAGTTAATTAATGGCGCTTTTCCACCACACAGTACCAGCTCGACTCAACTCGGCTCGCCTTTGTTTGGTTTTCCACTGTGTAAAAGTTGTACCTGTACCTGCTTTCGGGTAAAGTTTTGTATCACCTCCGGCGAGGTTCTCAGCGAGCTGAGGTGATACTAAAATGTGACGTGAAAAAAATGCCGACTGCTGATTGGTCCGAGAGAATCGTCACCATTCACTGCGTCATCATTGCACGCGCTAGATGGAGTATCCAGAATAACCCCGCCATTTTTAAATAGTTTGGCCAGAGATAGTTACTAAACTTACTACTATTATTATGGCAACTCGGAAGAATACGCCATGGTCAAACGAGGTGTGCAGACTTTCCTTTGTTTGGTTGCCGAAGAGAGGATCCAGCGAGCGAGAGCTTGATAAGGCAACGAGGAACGAAAGGTGTCGCTATGACGACCAGGTACTATTTGTGGCGGTACTGTCGGCAATGGAAAACGGAGCAAAAAGCAAGCCGAGCTGGTACTGGTAATGGAAAAGCGCTATAAGTTGTAACTTGTACCTTGTATATTAACATGTATTTAAAAACCCCATTTTATGTTTCAGGGGGAAAGGTAACTCTTCGACTGGAGTACGCGGATTACAGTAAAGCCATTACTCAAGACAGGATGATCAAACTGATGGCTTTACTCATCGATGCAGAGACACGGGATTTCTACAGAGCAAAGAAGACCATCCTGCTGGACAGCCCCGAAATAATCATCAATGTAAATCTAATCTTTTGGTTTTATTATTCTGATCTTACCAATTTACATATAAAGTATATGGGCTTTACATTAGCATAGTACTAGGCAGAATTTTCTTTGTCAATTAAATCTTAAATAAAACACCAAAATAACATGCAGTATTCAACTCGTGGAGTTGAGCAAGATCCACCAAACATGGCACAGACCTACAGCCTGTTTTGATCCAATCTTTTTTATTTATTTATTGCATTTTATGGACTTGTGATCAAACATCCCCAAATCTAAAATAGAAATGTCCATCTAACAACTTTTTCTATTAGATTAATTAAACAACTACAAATGTCTCAAACATTCAGGTTATGCTCATTTAAATTAATTTGCCTAATTAGGGCTGGACTGCCTGCTGAATTGAGACAGCCAGTACATATTTCTTTTGAATAACGTATGCATGACTCACAGATTTAATAAGGTGTGATTCGTTCCCCCGCAGATTCTGGGCGTGCCGAAAGTGGGCCAGATCCTGGTGGCAGATTTAGCGCTGCAGAATCCACTGCCGGAGCCTCTGGAGAACTCTGTGTTCACTATACATGGTGCCAACCTGACCGACGGGAAACCCATCACTCATGAGTAAGTCATCTGATCATCTTAGGACTGAGGTGTGAAACTACATACCCTTGCTCTGCCAGCAGTCATACCTGGTATCAGTTTAACTCATCACTTGACCAGTTTGGTCAATGCGTCATTTATTCAGTGGTAATGCATTAGTACAACACATACACATATACACTGTACTAGGAATACACTGTTGGGAAACTTACTTTGAAACTCTAGAAGCTACCAAATGTAGTTAAAACTACAACTACCGGTATGCATGACCAACAAGGATAGTAAGTTGCAATTAAATTGTCCTACATCTATATCTATCTGTATATCCATGTATCCGACTATGTTGCGACCATTCAGAACATCATAACAATCGCATAGACCCATCCTAATTTTGTAGCATGTTCTGTATTACTACACTGTTATTAATACAAATTATAAAATGAAATAAATGCATTATTGTAACAGTTTGTTTTTTTCCTTGCAGGGTTGGAACAGTCAATGCTAAAGAGTTTGCAACCGCCAAAGTGGAGTTCACACCAAAGCTGCCAGGACAAAGAAAAATAATGATATATTTTACCAGTGATAAACTTTACAACATTGAGACCTACGAGAATCTAGTCATCTATGAATAAAGGAGCTGTTTTTACTCACGCTTGTGATATCTTATTCTGTACTGGTATCTAACTTGTACTTGGGCCGGTGTGTAGAAGCCATGTTTAGGGCCAGATATATTTTTGATGCTGGCACTTTTGAATTTTCTGAAACATGACTTGAACTTCCCAATGCCACTAGTGCACAAATTGTTTCTGAATATGTTTCACTGTCGCAACTATACTGTTGATTTATTATATTTAATGTGAACACAGAACAAATTATCCCACTTTACAAATAAAAGTGTGGTTGGAATAAATTGCCTTTCATTTGCATGTTTGATGTGCATTTCTCATGTCAGAAAAAAATATTTGAATATTGCATCCATGCAAAACTGCTCCAAAAAGTCTCGAACTCACCAATAAGTCACTGTAATGCAGTTCTTCTGCACTTAAAACAAAATCCCATTCAGTCCCATCTTCAATCGTCTGGAGTCAAACTAACATTCACCATCTCAAGAGCTTCTTGTGAGGAAACATTCTTTATACTTTTTTTAATGCTTACATGCTGTTTACAAATCCTCTCCAATTTTAACTTTGCTTTCTTATAGATTAAAAAGATAACACAAAAATGGTGACTTGGGATGCAACCAACACTTCAACATGCAAACAATCGATTTTCTCAGCGAATTCCAGCTCGTGCTACGCTATACCCTCCTATATTGTCGCCGTCTCTCTCGGAATCAACCTTGTTCTTGGTCTTCCAGCAAACTGTTTCATACTATGGCTGAGCGTGAAGGAGATGATTAAAGGACAGTCCACTGAAATCTTCATCTTCAATGCAGCACTTGTTGAGGTCTTCTACTGCTCTATCTATGTTTTTGTCATAAAGCAGTATTTCTTTAATTGTACTGATTGCATGTTTGGCATATACTTCCCTACACTGCTCCTGTTGGTCGGTCGTCCTCTGTTTCAGAGCTGTACTTGTGTGGAGCGTTACATAGGCGTTCTCCATCCTGTGACCTTCCTAAAGCTCAAACCCATGAAATACAGGATTGCCGTATCTGTCATTGGATGGATTCTGATTTTTAGCTCAAGCTTAATAGTTTCAGTGAGCATCATTGAACTTCATAGCTTACTCTTGCCAGAGCTCCTTGTTTTTTTCAGTATCAAAGTGTTCAGCTGCTTGATGGTCCTGAAGGCTCTGAAGCATCCTGGACCTAGTGACGACTTCAAGAAGAAAGATGGAGGGAATCAAGACAAACTCAAGGCTTTTCGCATCATTCTGATCGTGTTGGCGTCTGCAGTGCTTATGTACGGTCCTATGATTATCTCTCTTGTGCTTTATTACATTATGGATTTAAAGACGTTTCTTTTGTCCTGGTCTGGGGCCGCATGCATTGGGATCATGTCAGGGTTTGTGCAGCCTTTCCTCTATCTCAAAAGAGTTGGAAAACTACCATTTTGCTAGAGGCAATTACCATATAGTGTATAAGTGGGTAATATGACCAAATTCTTATTTTACATTAATGATATATTTCACAATATAATTTTTGTGTGGTATTTAATCTCATTACTGTTAGTCAAGCCTATATATTAATAGGCTTATTTCCATTAAAAATAAATCTACTGACAAATGCCGTTTTCGCCATAGCTCAAGCCGATATAGCTTTGTAATTAGGTCTATCAATCCCTCTTGACATTATTTGTATATATGTATCATCTTGCAATTCAATTTTGACAAATGTAAAACAAAAAAGTGAAATATCTTAGAATAGCCCATCATTGTAAGTATATTTTGTGTGTCAGTTTCTCTGCAGAAGATGAGATTCTGTCAGATAACCGCATCTGAAATAGACAAATAGACAGTTACAATGTGTCTCTTCCATTTGTTCATCTAAAAGTATAATTATAATATATATATTAAATGTTGAAAAAAATCTAAGAATATGGATTCAATTCAATATCTTTGTCATTTAGTGGAGAAATGTAGAAGTATCCTCATTTTAACAGAGTTGGATCTGATAAACTAAAAAGAGAAAATAACATCATTAGGAAAACAGTTGCAATTTGAAAGTGAAATTTATAGACATTTTAAGAAAGAAATCATTTACCTGTTGAGAGTGTGTTGATAGTCTATGCAGTGAGCCAGTGGAGTCCTACGTGAACCGTCAGGGCAGTGTCAGATCCAGAAACCTCTGTGATCTAACAGAACGCGTCCTTGTTTGGTCTAGCGCATATGTGTACCAGTGCTTATACAGACTGGCTGCGCCCACTTATCTGGGTCCCCCGGAAAACCCTGAGAAAACCTCTCATAAGAGAAAGTATCAGTTACCTAACGTAACCTCAGTTCTCTCTAGAAGAGGGAATGAGCATTGTGTAAACTACCGTGCTCGCGCCACGAGCGACTTTCACTTCAGTCGATCAAAACCATGAAACAGCCTCTGAGCCCTTCACACACTGATGATCAATGCAGGATAATGCTTGTGTGTACAGTTCATGTCTCAAATCTAGCTTTTTTTTTACTGAGCCCTTTCCACTACAAAGTAGATCAAAGGACTGTACACTTAAAACCCAGACTGATCTCATGAAGTAGCGCGTGTATGACACGGCAATTCGTATTTCCATTTTTGGCGTGCTATCAAGACGCATAATCGCTTTTCAGCGTGTTTATGAACGCCGTTGACTTAACGTTATTACTGTATACATAAATATATGACTTACCTCAACCCCGTCCCTAAACCTACCCGTCACTGGGGTTAATGGCATTTATGACTGTTCCCTTACCATCCTAGAAAAAAAAAAGATCGCTCCCCAGATGTAGATCTACATTTTGCTTCGTTTCGCGCGGACATTTGACGGCGTGTACAGACACACGGAATCACTCGGACGTTAATGGCGTAGACATACACGCATACACGCGGATACACGCGGATAGCTCAAAATGCGTAGAGATAACACGCCACTTGACTCGAAAGTGGCGGGTATGTTTACGCAAAAGTCATGATGTCATGTTGCAAAACCAGTCTACAGATAAAGGCAAGCAAATCATAATAAAACAGAACACAAGACAACAGTCAATGACTGATAACAAAAAGCAACGAGGAAAAGACCCAACATACACATAATAAAACAAAATACAACTGCCAAGATTTCAAAAATTAAAAGCCACAGAAAACAAATGTGTTTTCAATCGAGATTTAAAAATATCAAATGAAGGTGCAGACCTGAGGTCAGGTGGAAGGGTATTCCACAGCCTTGGGCTGGCAACAGAAAGAGCCACATGATGCGACGCAGCCATATTGTGCCAGAACGCCCACCACACACCAGATTACTGGTGGAGAGGAGACAGAGTGATGAAGCCAATTGGTATATATCTTTCTTCTTTCTTTCTTTTATTTATTTATATAGCACTATTAATACACAACCCAAGTTGAACCAAAGTGCTTTACAAACAAATTCCCATGAAGGATAAAAATAAAAACATACTTCAACCAGTTAAAATATCACATTTAAAATATCACATCTACTCATTGTAGGCTAAGGACATTAGATATGATTTACACAGATGCTTAAAAATCGGCAGCGATTTTGCAGATCTAATAGGCAACGGTAACTCATTCCAATGCTTCGGCCCTATTACCGCAAATGCCCGGTCACCCTTATGAAGGCGCTTTGTTCTCGGTACTATCAGTAGTTCCTGATTCTCTGAGCGTAGTTTTCTGGAGGGGGTATACAAAGTTATGAGATTCGCCAGATATGGTGGGGCCTGATTATTTAGCGACTTATACACAAACATTAGAATCTTGTACCTTATTCTGTATTGCACTGGAAGCCTATTTAAAGACTTTAGTGCAGGTGTGATCGACTCATGTTTCTTTATTTTCAGCAAAAGCCTCCCTGCCGAATTTTGTACCGATTGCAGTCGGGACAAAGATGCGGCGGTGATGCCACTATATAGCGAATTACAAAAGTCGAGCCTTGAAAAAACAAAAGTGTGAATGACTCTTTCAAAGTCTTTATTTGATAGGAATGGTTTAATTTTAGCGAGTAGACGTAGATTATAAAAACAAGCCCGGACTACAGAATTTGTTTGCTTGTCCATTTTTAGGTTGTTGTCGATTAAAAATCCTAAATCTCTGACTGTCGATTTTGTGTAAGGTGTTAAAGGGCTTGAATCTAATGTAGTGTCTGTGGGTTTATTTTGATGGCCAAATACAATAACCTCTGTTTTGTCTTCATTTAACATTAAAAAGTTTTTAGCCATCCAGGTTTTAACGTCTTTTAGACACTCTAAGAGCAACTCGAATGAACTGGTCGAGCTGAGTGGCAGGTACATTTGCGTGTCGTCAGCGTAAAAATGAAATGACACTCCATAATTTCTAAAAATGCTTCCCAGAGGAAGCAAGTATAGTGAGAACAGTATGGGAGAAAGGATAGACCCTTGCGGGACCCCCCACGGAAGATTTTTTTTTCCAGAGGTCATGTCGTTATAGTTAACTGAAAAACATCTACCACTCAAGTAAGACTGAAACCATTTCAAAACTGTCTTTCAAGCCTACTGAGTGTTCCAGGCGAGAAATGAGGATGTCATGGTCAATCATATCAAAAGCTGCGCTTAGATCAAGCAGCACTAAAACATCATCTCCTTTGTCTAAAGCTAAAAAGATGTCATTTAGCACTTTCAGTAGCGCAGACTCGGTACTGTGGGCAGTTTTAAACCCTGATTGGAACATTTCACCTATTGCGTTTTTATTTAAAAATGCCAATAATTGCTGCAGCACAGCTTTTTCTAAAATTTTTGAGATAAAAGAAATTTGAGAAATTGGTCTATAATTTGTCATATCGTCCTGGTCCAAATTTGGCCGCTTCAACCGCGGTGTCACCACGGCATGTTTAAATTCTTGCGGATATATCCCACTGAACAGGCTCTTATTAAACAAATGTGCGATACTCAGTGCTACGCAGTCAAATGTCTGCTTTAACAGATGACTAGGCATCACATCAATTTTCCCGTGAGTTGGTTTAAGTTTTTGCGTAATATCCTGCAAGACTGTCAAGGTAATAGATTCAAAGGCACCCCATTCCGCCGTGCAGGTAGAATAGATTGATGGATCTATATTTACCAGAGGGATCTGAGAGCGTTGGTTGGCAATTTTTTGACTGAAGAAATTAAGAAAGTCCTCGCAAGAAATAAGTGAGGACTTTTGATGCATGTTATTTAAAGGTTGCATTACAGAATTAATAATAGAAAAAAGGAGTTTTGAGTTATTACTATTATCTCTAATTAGATTGGAAAAATATGTATTTTTGGCCTTGG